AAGATTCATGTTTTTCTTTTCTTTTCGTGAAGCACGTAAGTCATATGGTTGTTAAAGGCCCCTGAAATTCAAAACATTTCAACTTTTTTGAAACATCAAGCATTGCCAGCAAATCAGTTTTTCTCAGATTGTTGCAAGCTGTTAACCATTGGTAAAAATAATATTGCAAAACAAAGGTTCCCAGTGTACATTTTGTTTTCCTTATATTCACTCTTAGGGTTGTATGTAGGTTGGCAGTGTCTCCCATATTTTAATGTTTTTAGTTTCTCCAAGAATGTTCTTCTTGACAATAGTTTTTCTAAAAAACATGGAATAGCATTTCTATCTAGTTTCCAAAAACTGACTGTTTAGTAACAAAGGGTTTTAGGATGCCAAAAATAATATTCTTAAAACAAAGGGACTAATTTACTGTCATTACAAGAAAGGAAAAGTACTTGCACAGTACACAGCTCAACTGAGATATTTTTTGGTGAGGACCACACAGTCTACCCATGTTTAAAGGGCAAATTCTCTAAGTTTCCTTGATTGCGAGGCACAAATGAATGCGAAGCCTGGAAACTCTGATCCTCTAGTGCATGAAAACATGATCAAATGATGTAGCAGTTAAGTTGCATAATTCATAAAGCCACGTCCAAGCAAACAGTAAAGCTTGTGCGGAATGGAGAAGAGAAAGCATCTCATATTCCTCCAGTTTTAGTGGACTGGTGGCACACTACTAGCCAGACCACTGAGGACAATATCCCAATCCATTTCACGTACCTGCATTTATCCTGAAATAAGAAAGTGGTGTATTTTAATGACTTGCTACTCAAACAGTCCTTAAGAAGTATACTTATAATTACTGTTCTCCACTGCTGCCATCATCAGCTGATCTGACATGGTCAGGATTGCTGTCACGTGAGTGGTCGTCCTCTGTGCCATCAACTTCTTAAAACTCTTTTTCAAGTTACCGCAGGCAGCATGAATGCCCATTCACTTTTTATCAACGTGCAAAACTGTTAAGTGTTGAGCCACTAGATTTTAGTTGTTGGTGTGAATGAATGCTTTCAAAAATTCTACCATCACTTGTTTTGTCTTTCATTGCAGCTTCAAATGGCTTATGTATAGATGCAGCATGCATGTCCATTTCTCCAGGGATGACAACTTGATTTATATTTCTGATTCTTCCGTCATATGGGGAAAGTACCTGTGTACACTGAAGTTGTGCTTGGCTTGGCTTCTGGGTATGTTAATGAATTATGTTGCCAAATTTCTTACAAATAAGCCTTATATCCAAAGTTTGGCTTTATTTTCACTCTCTTGGAAGGAAATGCATGGGGTATTTAAGAAAATGTGGTAACATTAGGAGACAGATTACATATACAGATTGTGGTCTTCTGGTTTATGACACTATGCAGTCACGTTGCCATTGTTTTCTAGGAATGTGAAGATGGAGGCAGTATGTACCTTTGAAATGGTAGTAACCACCTATAAGACTACACGTTGTAGTCCAGAAGACCACCACCAGATCTCTAATTGATGTGAAGACCTCAGATATCACGTAGCTGATGTGTAAATCACCAAAAGGACTGAGGACCGAAAACTTTTGAAATATAATGGAAAATTAAAGTACTGAAATACAAATATATTGTCTATATGTCACAGGATGGCTTACCACAGGCCCTGTCATTGTCATCTTGTCCATCATGACTCATGCATTCGGTGTTGTGTTAGCAGTTGAAGCAGACATGTGCTCTGGGTGTGTAGGTGTGTCACAGGCCAGACAGGGCAATTGGCTGTGGCTAAACTGATGAGTGACTGAGGTATGTATCATTCATTCATTTAAAGAGAGTCTTTTCTTACACCTGCATTAAATTTCATATCTTGTTAATTTAAGTTACAAGAACCGTTTTCCTTGTGAATCCACATGGCTATCCAACGGTTAGAATGCAAAACATAAAATCTGATAAGAGTCTGAAGGTTGTTGGTGATGCTGCACTTTGTCTATTATCTGATTCATAAAATAATAAAACTACAATATTTTGGGAGCTGAATTTTGCTTCCATCTCCGTGTAAAGAAGGAGAAGAGGATATACCAGGTCTGAGGCTAGCTCCACTAGGGGGCCAACAGATAGGATTTCTGCCCTCTTCCCCTTTCATACCAGAAGACAGAAGTAAAATCCAGACTTCAAAATGTTGTAGTTTTATTACTTTTTAATTTGATGATAAACAAAGTGCAAAATAATAATTTTACATATATCATCATCAGAGTCCGATTGCATTTTGTTTTGTATTCAGACCTTTGTATAGAAGTGTGGATTCACAAGGAAATGGTTCTTGTAGGGTTACACTAACAGAAAAAATGATGACACAGTTTTAATCATGCAATTGAATGGCATGGTATAATAAATTATTCTCAAGCTACCACCCGTGTAAGGTGGCTTAATGAAGAAAACCCCAGCGTTTCAAGAATATTCCTTGTCTTCACCCTCAGGGTACCCTGATTCTCCAATCATTGGTGCTTTATTCATTAAACCAACTTACACTGCTGATAGCCCAAGAAGAGTTTATTATGCTTCTTCTTAAAGTTCCTATCCGTTCCGGATGTTGCCGATCAGCATAGCAATTTGAGCTTTATTGGCTGCTACTTGAAACAGCCCTCCAGTTTACATCGAGAACCAAGTTTTTAGGTTCTGAAGCCAGGAGATTCTTGGCCTGCCAGGTCCCCTCTTTCCGAATACTTTTCCCTGGATTATCAGCTGAAGCAGCCCGTATCCTTCACAATTTCTCATGATATCACCAAAATATTCCAACTTTCTCTTTTTATCTTGTTAACAACCTCGACGTCTTTGCAGAGTTTCTCGAGAACTTTTTTGTTGCTTACACGGTCAATTCAGAAAATTATGAGAATATGTCGGTACAACCACATTTCGAAGGCCTCCAACTTTTTTGAAGAAGCGTCGGTCAACGTCCATGATTCAGCACCGTATAAAAGCACAGAGAGAATATAACATCTGAGTAGTCTTAACTTGGTGTTTAAGTTTAAGTCTCGACTCCTGAACATTGATCCCATTTTGCTGAAAGTGGCTCTGGCTTTTTCGATACAGCACTTTATTTCCAAGGAGTGATCCCACTGGTCATTAATTGTGCTGCCCAAGTATGTATATTTCGATACTCTTTCCATTTTTGTATTATTAACTACCAGCTGACCGGGTAATACAGCATTTTTACTGATAATCATGAGCTTCGTTTTTTGGATGTTAAGATCTAAGCCGTGGTTGGTACTGGCCTTCACAATACGATCCATCAATTCTTGGAGACCTTAAAGAGAGTCGGCGAACACTACAGTATCGTCCGCGTACCGAATGTTATTTAATCGCTCTCCATTCACAACGACTTCAACGTTTACATTTTCCAATGCTTCTTCGAATATGTGTTCCAAAAAGAGATTGAATAGAATTGGAGATAGATTGCATCCGTGCCGAACACCATGCCTTATTCTTATGTCTTCTGAACTGACACCTTCCACCTTGATGTTAGCGGTTTGGTTCCAACAGAGGTTAACAATAACACGCAAATCTTTTCTATCAGTATCAGGACTTCCACCATCCTATCGTGTCGAATTCTATCGAAGTATTTTGGTAGTCATCTACATCACAGTTAACATCCCTGCAGCTCTGAAATAATACTTGGATCAAAAGTAGTGCCTCCCTTGTTCCCAGTGCATTTCAAAATCCAAACTGGGTGTGAGTAATCTTTTCTTCACCTAGCCTGTATATTTGTTTATGAATGATCTTCAGTAGTAATTATAATGTTAATACGTAATTTTGAAAGGAATATGATGTTTGAGTTACATCATGCTTAAATACCTCGAAGGAAATAGTCTTTCAAATATACAGCATGTATAATATATATCGTACAAAAAAGTCACTCCACAAATGCGATTTGCAATGGAAATCAATCTGCAAGAACCACACATAACCTACAAATCACATTCAATACCAACCTACAAACAGCTATGACTTTTAATACCAACACAACACATGGCAAGGAGCTCTGAAAAAAATGGTCACACACATGACGTCACTTACGCAGCTGTCACTGATTGGATAGTGGCGCTATTCAACGCTAGTGGTATTGTAGCATGCTGTCAGTCGCCACCTTAACAGTAACAGTACGAAAACCAACTAGCCGTTTGTGTCAGGTTTAACATGTTATAGTCTGTTGTTTTATATTACGGCGACCAACAAAGGTGTTTGTTTTAACTACCTTCTGAAGACACTTTTTGACATTTTCTTGAATGTGAAAATGGATTTCAAACATAATTTACTTATACAAGCTGATAAGCTTTGTAGCCAACTGCAAGGCCATAATAAATTCTTTGTCAGTTCAGTTGTAAGGTGTAGACGAGGCTTACAAGAAGTGGCACACTCACAGAAGTATTTTGCAGACGTGTCCAAGTTATGTATCAGAGTCGGTTAACTCTCAAGCGGCCATGAGGTGAGCAAAAAAATGTACAGAAACCTATGACCTTTATGAGTATTAACCAATTTATTAGTAGTTTCTTGAAATTCAAAGTTCATCTGACAGCAGGCAGAACTCTGGAACAGTTTTTTATAATTACTGTTTGGCATGTACCCTTTGAAATCATTTTGTGTCCCACATGTGACACACATACCACACTTTAAGAAATGCTGCTATAATTTTTTAAATAAATTAAAGTGACTTTTTTGCACAGTCCTGTAA